GAGTTTTCTAGAAAGAGATTTAATGTGGAAAATGCTAATAATGTTTGCAACCTGACCGTTCTGAAGACAGTCCAAGAGGATGAGGGAATCTATCACTGTGGAATAGCTGAGTGGATGTATCCCATTCAGTGGAGTGAGACGTATTTGTCAGTAAAAGGTAAGACTGAGCTACTTTTACAAACTTTAAAGTTTCTACTATAAGCTTTAAAGCATCTCCGTATCTTTTGTAATACACAGGAAATACTCAGATGACATCAAACTATACTGTTGTTCAGTGGCCTCCAGTATTAGACCCACTCCATCCAGGAGAATCAGAATCAGTATTTAGTATTTATTTATTTATTGTCATTGTCAGAGAACAATGAAATTGCATTTGGGGCTTCCGTACAACCCGTAAATAAAATAATGAAGAAAATAATAAATACCCCTTAAAACCCAAGTGTAAATATTTAATAGTGTCTTCTTTTATGTTAAAGTAGAGAAATTATTTTATTATCCCGTATCTGTTTGATATGTAAGCAATCTGGGCACAGCCATTTTTTTCAGTGGTTGATTGTAAACTGTGGTAAATAATTTATACTATATATATGCAAACCTTTATGAGTTATACCTTATTAATGTTAGAGAAGCCGTTTGTGTGTTTGTGCTTCATTTACTTTATACAAATGGAACTGTAGCTAAAAAAAAACACAGATTAGAAGAATGATTAGTCTGTTGGTTTTCATCTCAGAGAACATATTAATAGACTAGAATAGGTAAATTTGACAGTTGATGGAACATTAAAATCCAGAGTAATGATAAATGTGGACAGGCATTTTTTTTTAAAAAAAACACACACATAAATTTGTATTTTGAACTTCAGTTGATTTTTTCTTTATTTACCTTTGATTTAACCTTACATTAAGGCTCCTCTGAAAATCACTTCAAAAATTTGTTGCAGCAAGCTTGATGCAAGCGTTTCCATGAGGTGAGTGGGAACATTTCTCCAAGTGGTGAAGATGGCCGCACAAAGGGCATCTACTGTCTGGAACTGTTGTTCATCTTTTTTTTAAACTTTCCTTGCCATCCATCCCCAAAGGTTTTCAACTGGATCAGGGCAACATGCAGGACCGGCCAAAATAGTGATGTTATTCTTCTGGAAGAAGATCCTTATCCTGCAGGCATTGTGTAATGTAGCGTTGTCCTGTTGAAAAACCCAGTCGTTACCACACAGACGAGGGCCCTCAGTCATGAGGGATGCTCTCAGCAACATCTGGACATAGCCATCGGCCGTTTGATGCCCCTGCACCTCCTGAAGCTCCATTGTTCCACAGAAGGAAAAAGCACCTGAGACCATTATTACACCCCCTCCACCGTGGGTTGTAGAAAACATCTCAGGTGGGATCTGCTTGTCATACCAGTAACATTGGAAACTATTAGAAACATCAAGTTTTTTTTCTCATTAGAGAATAAAACCTTCTTTCACCTTTCAATGTCCCATGTTTGGTGCTCTCTTGCAACTTCCAAAAGGTGAGCTTTGTGCTGTTCAAAGAGACGAGGCCTTTGAATACGTGTTTTGTTTTTGAGGCCCTTCAGTCTCAGATGCCATCTGATGGTTATGGGGCTGCAGTTAGTACCGGTAACATCCTTAATTTGGGTTCAGGATCGTCCAGTGTCTTGATGACAGCCAATGGGATCCTCCGACCCCAAAAAATCTGACCAGCACTTTCTTACTACATCCCACCTCAGCATTGATTGTGTGCTGCAAGAGACCCTGCTTATGCAGTTTAATAACCTGAACATGTTCAAAAATGAAACATTTTTTTTGCCTTTGCCATCAGAACATCATGACAATGTGACTACCTGACAGAAAATGACAATGAATCCACATTTCTGCACAGATTTGGTCCTAAACTTTAGGTCAGCTGTAGAAGAGCCTGTTTCATTTTAAGCATTGTTCTCAATATATTGCATGCTCTAAACAAATATTTTGTCTCACTCCCATTTCTTCTTGTCGCATGTTGAAGCTCTACTTGGAACTTTGTTAAGATTTAACCTTGCAAAATACAATTTTTCAAGTGGTCTTAAACTTTTGATAGGGATGTATAATGAGAACTGCATAGAAACTGTCAGGGTCCTGGGACTGGGCGACCCAGGATCCCTGAGCAGTTATGTATTATATTATTATTATCATTATTATATGTATTTTGGTGTTGCTGCTGCTCTTCTCCATGCTTGTAGATGTGTGTGTGTGTGTGCGTGTGTGTGTACGTCTGCGGGTATGCTTGGAGGATGGAGCTCAGCCACCTGCAGGCCTGAGGGGTGTGGCCCTGTGGAAGGATTGGCCACACCCGAAGCCACACACCTGCCGCTGATCAGGGCTCGTCGGGGGAGCTACTTAGGAGAGTCTTGGAGCTCCCACCGACGCGGGATCATTGCTTGGGACTCCACGTTAGTTACCCAGTTTAGGTTTTGGTCGTGTAGTGTATGCCTGCCATTGTTCAGTGTCCTGACTGCTGCCGCTATTGTTTCCCGCAGGAGGAGCGTGGAGGGCTTAAGGAGCAGCGAGCACCGGGAGTGCAGACACGGGAGCAGAGAGCACTTGGAGGACACGACACGGGAGTCTGGGGAGAAACACGGGGATTTATTGTTGTTTGATATCACCCTCTGTAAATAAACACTGTCTATACGTAGAGCACCGCGCCTGGGTCCTCCTTCCCCACTCCTTCCACGGTGTGCCATGCCACACCGTGACAGAAACAGTTTATTTAGGTGATATACTGTTCTGGATGCATTTACACTCATCATAGGCACGAATGTCATGGCAATTTGGAGCTTTTAATGATTTCTTTCAAGGTAGAATGATTAAATAGCATAAATACAAAAATACCTAGAATGATAGGGTTTATAAGTTTTAATGTATTTTTTGCATTCTCTTCTATCTACACAAAGTCAAACGTTTATAAATAGGCTTTGATATATGCATACACCTCCAATGATATTTGGTTTTATGCCCCCAGATGCTTTTGGGTACTCTGAATGGATACTGGATCACTCCTCTTGGCAGAATTGGTAGCGCAGACTGGTTGACTGGTTTCCTTGTGACTCCTCCTCATGACTTTTCACTGTCTACAAATTTTCAATAGATTTAAGAATGGGCTTAAATTAAACAAAACAACAACAACAAAGAAACACCTTTCAATCAGCGTATGTCATCAAATCAATTATAACTGATAGCACAATTTTTCAATTACTACTGGACACTACAGGTATTACACAGGTAGTCCAACTCCTCAAGAATAGCACATCACATATGATTGCTGTATCTCCCAGCACAGTCTCAAGAATATTGATGCTGGCTCGTTATTAAACTCTGGCTCTCTTCCACAGCATGTCTTTATCCTGTCTTCCTCTCTCAACCTAACCGGTTGCAGCAGATGGCCCCGCCCCTCCCTGAGCCTGGTTCTGCAGGGGGTTTCTTCCTTTTAAAAGGGAGTTTTTCCTTCCCACTGTTGCCAAAGTGCTTGCTCATAGGGGGCCATATGATTGTTGGGTTTTTCTCTGTATGTATTATTGTAGGGTCTTTACCTTACAACATAAAGTGCCTTGGGACGACTGTTGTGATTTGGCGTTGTATAAATAAAACTGAATTGAACTGAATTGAATTAAATTGATTCTAGGAGACAGGCAGTTAATCTAGGAGAACTGGGTTATAGAAGGTCCTTATCCATCAGCAGGACTGGTATATACTCTTTTGTGCAAGGACGAACAGGATCTACCACTGGTGACCTGTGCTTCTTACATGTGAGAGCAGGTTCACCCTGAGCACATGCAAGAGATGGAAAGCGTCTGTAGAATCCATGTAAAACATTCCTGTAATATCATTTAGCATGACCAGTTTGTTGTTGGGTCACTGGTGGTCTGAGGAAGGAAATCCGTGGAAAAATTCACAGACCTCAAAGTGATAGGCACCAGTACCCTTACTGCCATTAGATGTCCTTGGATCCACTGACAGACTATGAGAATACATGGCCTCATGTTGCAAGAGTATGCAGGCAAGTCCTGGAGGATAAAGGAATTGAATGGGCCCAGTGTTCAAGTCATCTATATTCATTAGAACAACTCTGGGACATTATGTTTCAGTCCATCTGACACCAGCAGGTTGCACCTCAGACTGCTCAGGAGCTCACTGATGCCCTGATCCTGATCTGGGAGGAGATGCCTCAGGACTTTTGAGGTCTGATATGTTTTCAAAGTGCCTCTCTGAAGTTTTTGAGCAGTGTACAATTGTTGATCTTGAAATCTGCAATCTCAAAGGGGACATGAAATCAGTCCATGCTGTGCAGAGTTTGCTCAGACTAATAAAGGAAAACTGTCTTAGAACATAATGATTTGATTTCATAACTTAGGTCTATACCATATCTTTGTATAGGTATTTTGATATTCTTTATACAGCCAGCTGATGCAAAGAAGACATGCCATTTTGATTGAGAAAGTAAAACAGTGTATACCAGCTAAGGTCTTGGAGGTAACATTATTCTGTCTTTACCTCTAGCTCCACCATGGGGTTAACATGGGTGACATTCAATGCAAGTGCTGATTGGTTTGTTATGAAAAATGCAAAAACATATAAATAAATAAAGTTGCACATTAGTTGGGCAAAAGCCTTCGCTTCATCCTGTGCGCCAGCTTTTCTCCAAGTCAAGATGTCAAATTTCATCAGAAATTCAATATGTAATGTTTTTGTGTTATTTCTTGCACTACACACCACAAACAGAAGTGGTGACTGTTCCACTGTTTATGTCCTTCAGATGAAAAGAAAAGGAAGGAATAGAGAACGAATAACCACCAAGAGAGAAGTAAAAATTAACCAAATGGATAATTACAACAGAATATCAAAGAGAGGTGAAATGTTTTACAGAGCCCAGGAGGGAACCAGTGTGACGTGAAGGGTCCTTTTGAATCTATATGTGTTAACCAATCAGAATCATTTTACAGCCTTACCTAACATGATCATCTTGCCTCCTTCACTCACTGAAAGACCGTGTTCTCAACAACGAGCAGTGTCATGATGATGGTGCTGTGGATTACTTTGCTCTTTCTTCATCAAGGATGTAAGTGCTCTTTAATTTTCTCCACAACTATTCTATGAAGATAAATTATGTCAAATAGAAAAAAATGTGTTGAAAATAAAATGAATTATTTTGCATTTGAACATTTTCACATAATTTTTTTCTGTATTCTCTTAATTCAGATTCTTTGGTTCCAATGAAAATCGTTCAGCTTGGTGAACCAGCAACGTTAACATGTGCTTTACCCAGCAATAAAGAGCTCAGCACTTTGGAAGTCCACTGGTACAAGCAGAGTATCGGGGATGAGCTCAAACTGATTTCAACACTGTATGGAACTACACCACCTCAGTATGGTCAAGAAATATTTAGATCAAGATATGACGCATGTAATAAAAAAACATTTAGCAATCTGACCATTTTGAAGACAGTCCAAGAGGATGAAGGAATCTATCACTGTGGAATCATTGAATGGCTTAATCCTGAATGGAGTGGGACATATTTGTTAGTAAAAGGTAATAAACTGGCATACTTTCAAAAAATGTATTAGTGTGTTGGAGCATGTTTTGACGATTGTCTTTATATTTTTAATAAACAGGAAACACTCAGAGGGCATCAAACTATACTGTCGTTCAGTGGCCAGCTGTATCAGATCCAGTCAATCCAGCAGACACAACAGCTCTCCAGTGTTCAGTTTTCTCTGACTCTGACAACAACACATATGCACGGGATCGTGATATGTTCTGGTTCAGAGCTGGTTCAGACAAATCTCATCCTAGCATCATCTACACTGGCAGAAAGAGAAGCAATGAATGTGAAAAACCATCTGACCTTCAGAATAGCTGTGTTTATCGCTTCTCTAAGAACATCAGCTCCTCTGATGAAGGGACTTACTATTGTGCTGTGGCCACATGTGGGGAGATATTATTTGGAAATGGAACCGATCTGAAAGCTGGTATGATTTTTTGTTTACTACTGGAAGTTATAGTTAAGGTATGTTGGCAGCATATGAGTGATTTTTTTTGGAAACTTTGATATATCTTTCTGGTTGTTTGTTTTGTAGTGGAAAAAACACAGTCGGCATTTATTCAACTGGCCTTAATAATAGTGTGTTTGGTCATTTCTGTCACTGGAAATGTTTTCCTCATCTGCAACCAAAGAATACAAAATAAAGGTAAGTGTTGTATGATGATTTCCAAAGCTAAGATTGCCCCGTTATTCAAGTAGCATTTCCATTGTTTAAATATGAATATGAATACATATTAAATGTTTTGTGTTATATATTTATATGTTAGGAAATACATTTTGAAATAGTTGCCACATCAAATGCATGTTACTATTTTGTATTTGTCATAATAATTGAATTCATCTTTATGAATAGAAAATGCTATATCGGAAGACCAAATTGACACCTCACACCAACCAGTAAGTAATGAAAATGCTTGTTATTCAATTAAAACTGAAAAGCTCATTATTATTATTTCACCTGGTTGTTATTATTGCATATCTTTATTACACAGGCTGAAACTGATGGCCATGTAAACTATGTTGCACTGAACTTCAGTGAAAGAAAATCGAGAAGCACAAGGAAGAGAGACTTTGCTGAGGACAGTGTCTACTCTCAAGTTAAATCCTGATTTCAAGTGTTGTGTGTTTTCTTGAAAAAACAAAAACACAGAAAATAAAAGAAAATTAGGAAAAAATATCAAAGAAAAGAAAAATCAACACATCAACTTAAAATTTTGCAAAAGAAAAACAAAAACAAAAGAAAATCCTCAAACTACTATGTGATTTAATCAGTGGATTCACACTCCTGTTGGAGAGGAGACGTGAGTCCCGCTCATTCCATAGGTAGCTTTCTGCCTTTGTAAGAGAAATTAAGTTGAGTGCTGCTGAATTAGAAGCTTTTCTTGTAAAAACAAATTGTTTTTGTTGGAGATACTGTAGTGTGAGAAAACACTTGTGCAGACTGACAGTATAAATTCAGGAATGTGAGAGTCCGGATCAACTGTGTTGGTGAGTTTATCTGAACTGAGCCTTGCAGCCATGTTGTTTGTTACTGCAGTAGCATTGTATTGCCTGTTTGTCTTTCCTGTTAGGTGAGCTTGACTTTATATTTGCTGCTTTTTGGTTTTTTTTTTAAGATTAGATAATGTAGTTTGTTTCTACCTTAAATAGTTGAATGGAAATTTGAATGTGAATTATAGCTTTCGTTGTTTTTATGCTAGGTCACCTAGTCCCATTTTAGTTTGCATGTTAGTGTTATATCATGCACAGCTGCACGGACCGCCTTGCAATGCATCATCTCTGCTAATAATCACAACAACAGCAATAATAACAACAATAATAATGACATGTATTATGATGAATATGACTTGCTTTGAGGGTCTGGAGTCTAGTGACTCCCAGTTTATGTTTATTAATATTCATTGATTTTGTTAGTTTATTCGTTATTTGTAATTATTTCCAGTGTTTAGGTGTTCTCTGTGCCTCCCTTGTGTTACTTGTGTTGTGTCTAGTGTTCTTGGTTCTATGTTCCCCTTTCCTGTTTTACTTCGAAGAGTCTTGTGCATCAGTGTATTCTGTTTTGCTTCCACCTGGTCTCATCTCGTCTGATTATTGTGAGCTGTGTTCCCTGCCTGCCTGCCATTTCCTCACTTCTCTGTGTGTAATATATAGTGTGCGCTTGCCTCTGTCAGATTGTCTGCGTTTTCTCCTGTTTGTCATCCCCCGTGTTTCATCCTGCATTTCCTCCTCAAGGTTTCCATGTCTTAGGTTCCGCGTTTCCAGTTTCAGGTTTTTGGTAATGTTTTCTATGTTCCTCATGTTCTTTAATTGAGCTTTTCCCGGTTTAGCTTTTTGTTTGTTTTTTCTCAGTTCCTCCGCCACCTTTTGTTTTGTAGCTTTTTGTGCAGTCAAGAATAAAGGCTCGTTTTTGTTAAAGATCCACATTCATCTCCATTGTCTGCGTTTGGGTCCAGTTTATGTTTGCATCTGGGGATGAATATCTGTGTGTTTTATGTGTCTTTGTGCCCTGTCTGTGTCATTTCATTACATTTCAGTTTCTTTTTTAAATGCTTTATAAAACAAAAATAGTCTTTACTTTCGATGAAGTCACGCAAAATGTCTAAATAAACATAAAATATGGAATTAATATAAAAACGATAAAATCTCGACTACCACACTCTCAAACAATGAACTCATATCTTACATGTACAAATGTACTAAATATCTTGTTAATCACATAGACTTTCTAAATGGCACTATGAACATGCTAGTTGCTGGTAGGTCTTGGGCTACACAAATGGTGCTTTTTGTTAATTGTTCTGTTTATAATTATATCCATAACTTTTAAGGATATAATTTTTAGCCATAGTCAAATTGTCAGAGGTTTCCAGTTCAGAGATCATGGGAATATTTTTCTTTTTAATTTATATTTTATGTGGGCTTTCTGGCTTCAACAAGTGCTCACTGATTCCTGCTGGGAAGGTTTGTTGTTAACTGGGCTCTAGTACCTCCAAGTCTGAGAGTGTGTTTAAGAGATAGGTGACCAATCAATTCAATTCATTTGTATTTATTTAGCACCAAATTACAATAACATTCAACCTGAGGCACTTTGTTTTGTAACATGAAGACCCTACAATAATAGAGAGATAACCCCAAAAATCAATCTTCCCTTTTTGAGCAAGCACTTGGTGACAGTAGGAAGGGAAAACTCCCTTTAACAGAAGAAACCTTCAGCAGAACTAGATATACTTTCATCTAAAGACAGAATAAAGCAGATATTGTGGAAGAGAGCGATAGTTTAATAATAACTAATGATTAAATGCAAAATGTCGTTTAAATACTTACATAGTGAGTAAATAGGATAAGTGAAGTCTGTCTCTTGAATCAGGAGGCTTGTTTAACAAAAACAGGGCATGAAAGCTAAAGGCTGATTCCCATTCGACTTTTAGGTAAGTGAGCCAGCAGTCAGAGATCAAGCAAACCATAAAAGTAAAGTTTGTCAGTTTACTGTCAATCTACATCCAAGCAAAGACTCACAGCATTGACCAGCAGCTCGAAGCAATATAGCAGCTTTACTTCATGGAATCATCAAAGGTGTACTCTCAGTGGCCGGGGAACAATATATGAACAGCACCACCAAGGCCGTGTCCTTCCAGAGCAATACGAGAAGAACACAACCCACAAAGGCTAGTGGATCTAAGAGCAGACCACAACAACGAACCTGAACCAGTAACCACAGTGCCAGACTTTTAAGAAGGAAGCTTTTCCAGTATAAAGAGCTGGACTGTACCAGGCCCTGACATGATTCCCACCTACTGGCTGAAGAAGCTGACTGCACTCCATTAGTGTCTAGCAGCACAAATGAACCAGCTGATAGTCAATGAGACACACCCAGAATGGCTAGCTCAGGGGTCGGCAACCTTCACACCCAAAGAGCCATTTCCATGTAAAAAAAGACAAACACTGGGAGCCGCAAATACTTTGTGACATCTGAAATGCAGATAACACTGTATATATTGTTTTGTTGTTTTTTTACCTTTATGCTTTGTATAATCAATTACAATGTGTTGGTTATGAAACCCATGAAGTGCTACAGAGAAAATTAGATTTTATTTATGTAATGAACACATTTTGATCATCTTGAACACTTAAAAAAATAATAACAAAAGAGAAACACGCTGAGTCCAAGGCGTCTTTCAAATGAATTAAAAAGCTGAACTTAAATTATCCATGTAACAGGCAAAACAATATTGTGAGGGGTCATCCGTATATCGCCTTTGGGCTTTTGGAGCCTTGACCTGAATTTAAAAAATAAATTGGAAAAAAACAATATGTCACTAAACAATGGAAAACAAATATTTGCATAAATATTTATTTTAACTGGTTAATGGGACTTCTGTTCCTGAACCTCTGCGCACAGCGTCTGCAAATTTGGGCTGTACAAAACAACTTTCATCTTTACGCAGAACTGTAAACTGTCACCTGTGAGGCATGAGCAGTTTTTGTTTTTAACATAGTTCATGGTGGAATAGCTAGTCACATACGTATGCGGATCAATAGGACTCCAAATGTATATTTCTTCATGTTTATGTAGGTGCTGGGGATGGCATTCCATGTTTCAAACACGAGTTTGTGATTCTGAACTTATTGGCCTGCTATGGGCAACATCCCCTGTCAAGTGTTTGAATTGGGACACCCACATATCTTTGTCAGCTATGTCAGCCAGCTCGATCTCCAGATCAGGTTGACTTACACCTGCAGCCACATTTAATAGGGATGGATCGATGGTCAGAGGAGGGACAGGGAAGCATAATGTGGGTTTTTCTCTCTGAACTCACTGAATCGTTTCCCAAACAATGCTTGCATTGTGGTGATTGCAGACTGCTAATACTCAGAATTGATCAACTCATGAGCTTGTTTGCACTCCCTTACAGAGGGAAGTGAGAAAGTGTGCCTCTCTGTAAATCTCTGGCTAAAACTTTCCGTTTGGACTCAAATACTAACACTGTCATGTCCACCATGAAGTGCAGCTTTTCCAGCCACTCTGGCTGTTCCAGCTCAGAAAAGGTGAGCCCTTTGCTGCTCGTGAAAGTTTTCACCTCTCGCTGACATGCAGCGAAGCGTTTCAGCACCTCTCCTCTGGACAGCCACCAGAATCTGTTACAAAGCAGGAGATCAGAGTACATGTGCTCCACCTTAAACAGCAACGCCATTTCTGTGGTTCTGTCTTTGACAGTCTTCGCAGAGAGAGGCATCTCTCTTGTTTTTAAAGTCTGCGATTAGGTGTTCTGAAATCTTAATGAATGAATCCTTCATATATTCTCCGTCCATGGACAGCTTCCCATGCCTGACTATTTCCTGAGCTGCCACAAAATTTGCATATATAGTTGAATTTGCAGACTTCATCCACGTCTTGAATTGATTTTTACTCAGATCAGCCTTCTCCATCTGCCCAGGCATCATTAAATGTTGTATTTTCTTAAGATATTTTTCTTTTCTTACATTTCCTCATACTTGGCCTACCCGGGGTTGAAAGTCTCGATAAATGCATGGACTTTTGGCGGATATACAGGCTTCTGTGAGTGTGACCCTTATTTTGAGCGATGAAAATAATAAAATATAATTTTATTTTAATATTTCAAGATCACAATAATCTTCCAAGTTAGAATTACACTTTCTAAAAAGAACTAACACTTCAGTTAAATACTTATAATGTATTTTTTCCATTCACACAGAGCTGCAGTATAAGGATGAAAGAGCCACGTGTGGCTCTGGAGCCGAGGGTTGCAGACCCCTGGGCTAGCTGAAGGCAGGACACTCCTGATCCCCAAGGACCCACAGAAGGGACTGGTCCCATCCAACTACTGGTCAGTAACCTGCCTCAGTACCACATGGAAGCTCCTGTCAGGCATCATACCCATATGGAAAAGAAATAGTAAAAACTTATATATGATTTACTCATGAAAGTGGCCACTTTCTCATTACTTTCATATATTGTTTTAGTAAGTATCCAAAACATACAAGTTTCATTATATAATTTTTCAAGGGATCTTATATCTGTTTTCACTCTTGTATGCTTTTCATACAAGTTTCACACAAGACAGATACAAACTTTATAAGATTTATATATATATCTTTTCCATATGGGTAGGGCCTTAGAGGAACAGGCACATGGATCAGTACATGAGTGGGGCACAGAAAGGAATTGGCAGGAATACCAGAGGAGTGAAACACCAGCTACTGGTAGACAGAGCTGTCGCCCGAGACTGCAAGACCAGACTGACCAACCTGTGGACTGCCTGGATTGACTACAAGAAGCCTATGACTCAATACCCCACACCTGAATGCCTAGAACTATACAAGTTCAACAGGACCCTGAGAGCCTTCATCAGGAGCTCAATTGGGATAAGTAAGTAAAAAAGTAAGTAAAATTTTATTTATATAGCACCTATAAAGATAAAAATCCCAAAGTGCTTCACAGAAGCTTGTTATGGAAATTTTAACAATAACCTGCAACACACCCAGTGAGCTTGATTTGAAGTGAGTTTAATAAACACATTGCAATGTGGAGAGAGCATCCCGGTGAAACACCAGGACCATCTCTGAATTGTGGTCACACACACATTCACCACTGGTTGCCAGTGTGTGAATGTGTGTGTGACTGGGTGGATGACTGACTGTAGTGTAAAGCGCTGTACAAATACAGACCATTTACCATTCAAGCTGCTGTCCTGCAGAACAACTTCAGCTATCAAAAAATACAACAGGTAAAGTTCTTAATGCTATAAATTTGATTGTAATTTTGAATTTTCTTTTAGCGATTTTATGTGTTTTGATATTTATAATATTTTTATTTACTCTATTATCCTGGAATATGGATACGTGGATGTTTTCTGGTGTTGTCTTTACCATGATGAAAGCTGACAGATGTACAAAAAACAACACAAAGCCAGCAAAGAAGCAGCAAATCTACATGGCTGCCAAGGCTTTTGGGCTGAATTAGGTCTACGTATCACTCCTTGGTATGTTGTTCTGTTCATGCTTTTGTCAGTGTTTAATAAAGCAGCAGTTTGGTCATGAATGGCTGTTGTTTTACTCTGTCTTTTATCTCATTTACATTATTGCACAAGCACATCAAAAACTATGTACGGGATTGAAAATGGACATTACTAAAATCACATAAGAAGTCAGGATGTCTACCAAATGGGAATTTAAATATGTTCATATATATACCAGTGGAGTGTGTTAATATTTGTAACTCTGCAACAGTGAACTGTAAATAATACTTTTATTACATCATATGTAACCATGTAGGACATTTCACCATTTTGCTGCAGTCTTGTAATAAATTGTCTTAATAAATATTTTGTTGTCTTATTGTGTATCAGCATTTCCCACTGAAGTTTTGATAGAGCCCCAGCTCTCCCACAAAATCAGGTGAGCACCAATTTTTAGAAAACAGAAAACATTTACACGGGGAAATGGATTTCTAACATTAACCCAAACTATCTTACTGTAAATTAACACACCTTAAAAAGTAGCTCACAAGGTAGAGGTCATCATAACGGAACGATTCTTAGTTCAATCCCCTGCTGCCAGTGTATTTTGGGGCAAAACGGTGAGCCCTAAGTTGTTCTCTGATGCATTTATTGGAGTGTTAATATGTTTAAATATCAACTAGAAAGAACTTAGCCATAGAAAACATGAATGTATATCTTGCATTCTACATCACAATAAAAAATCTAGAGTTGGGTGCACAAATTTCCATTGATTTTTGATTTTTTTTTCTAATACACACAAGTTAAACATCTACATAGAGGCTCAAATATATATACAACCACAACTACATATTTATTATGAACTTTAAATAAAGAATTTCCAAATTTAAACATAATAACAATAATAATAATAACAGTAATAATCCCAGCATTCCCAAGAATATAGGAAGGTTTCAAGGATGAGCTGAACTGGGAGGTATAGACCTGCGTGATGTGCTGTGGAGTTTCTTTGTCTCTGTGCTTTTTTTGTTCATACATAAGACACTATAGTGTCTTATATATATGTCTTATATATATATGTTATACATGTCTTATAGGGTGGCGGCCCATCTTCAGAGATGACTTTGGCATTTGACCAGTGCGCTCTCTCCATGTTGCGACATGTGAATAAACCATTTCGAACAAGCTCATCGGGTGTTTGCAGTGTCTTTTGAGTTTCCATGACAAATCTCAAACTTTAACAGCACAAAATGCTAAAAATTGAGAAATATTTTGTAACAATAGAGTTTTCCACGTCAGAATCATTAAAGCAGACAGCAATCTGCTTTAGTCATGGAGTTTTTCTGCAAAGGGTCATCTGCAGCTTTATTTTACCCACATACGCATTTCTCTGAACAGAGAATAAGGCCACGCTGTTAAATTTACCGAGATCATCAGGACATTTTTGGAGTCAAAGTTGATCAATACCTAGGTCTGTAATCTGTTTTACAGCGTCATGGGCAACAAATCATAGCTTGTGAATAACAGTTGTGGTTAATCTTTTTGCACAGGTGTGGTTGCTCCTCTCTGTAAGCCAGTCATAGGTGCATTATTACTAGCAAAGCCAAAAAGCATACATGTAATTTCTCCAGAGATGCCCTTCATAACTGCAGAATGTCAAAGCAGCCTTGGTCTGCAGCTGCATTTTATCAAGCTGAAAAGAGAGGCCGGACCTCTCACCTTTGTAGGGAATTCTAATGTCAACAACCAGGCAGGTGGAAAACGTACATTTCTAGCTGACTGTTTTCACACTGAAATAGTTGTGCTTAATGAAATGTTGGAAATAGGATGCATCCAGATCATCCCGCTATAAAATATCATCTTTAACAGAATCGTGATTGTTGAAAGAGAAAGTCCATTTCTGATTTCATTGTTGATTGTGCTGTAAACTCATGATTAAGCACTTAAAATCAGAGGGCGAAGTACATTTTTATCTCCACCAGGTATAAAAAGAATTTAGCAGAGGCAGGCAATATCCAACAGATCAGATAATGGAATTAGAAAATTTGTTAGTCTATTGATTACGTTTGTTCTTAGTTTAATAAGGACAGTCTGTAATCACTCATCTGCCTGTTTCCTCAGTATTCAGTTGGTAGTCTCTTCTTTACATCTCTACTTCCCCACAGTGTCAAAATCAATAGTGGCATCATTACACTAGTCTAATCATCTCCTTGTTGGCCTTCTTTGAGCCAATCAGCCACTTTGCATCCTTTAAACTGTGGTCATTAGTGATGTGTGATACCACTGATTTCCTTTCCGATCCGATACCAAGTAAAATTCAGGGTAAATCGACAATACTGATCCGATACCGATACTTTGTACAAAAACGTAATGTTTATAATACAATATGTAATTGTATTATGAAATTGTAATAATAATATAATAATAAAGCTTCATAATGATTACAGGACATCAGACTACTTGTTCTTATCGCTTCATAATGCAGAATTATTATTTAGAAATAAAAAACCTGAAGCTGTGCGCTATTTGAACACGTTGCCTGCCTGCAGCACTAAAGGACTCAGAGACGTCTGTCTCGCCCTAGCAGCACCTGCCCCTCTCCTCCTCTTCAGTTCACCTCAACATAACCTCGTCATATTCTGTGATATGATTCACTGTGAGGTGTTTGACGAAGTTAGTGGTGTTACCACAACACCTCACTGTCTTGCCACATGTATCGCAAACCGCGTCTTGGCTGTTTGTGGAGGTAAAATACGTGCGCACATCCCTCCGTTTATACGCTCAGCCATTGTTGTGAATGCGCACGCCAGGGGCTGCGACACATTTATACAGCCGTATTTCGCACATGACTGTGAAAGGCAGAAGCGGAAGTAGTTCCTTCCAATTTAGACGATCTGAATGATAGTTTCTTTCCACTGTGTTCCTGTTAATGAAAAACTACAAATTTACCCCAAAGTACTAAAATATCGATATTTTAATATGAGAATCGATTCTAGAACATAAATTACTGGTATCGGAAGAATCGATATTTCAATATCGATCCGCACACCACTAGTGGTCATTCTCCCTTTAAGACTCTTTTATGCTTGAGTTATGAGCCAGCTTAACTTCTGTGCTTCTTGTTGTTTACGCTTTGCATAGATAACAAGGAGGAAAGGCTCTGTGGGAGGTTTGCTGGTAAGCCTTTGCTGATAGCAACTTTGTCAAACCTCAAACACACTTTGATCATTTTTTTTAAAAAGTTCAGAATCAAAGGAAACAGCTGAAGATGTGGGTATCTGACACTGATGCACCTTTGACACCTTTTCGGTGAGGTGTTTTGGGAACATTGTATATAAGATAGATTCCTGACACGATTTATAAGCAGTAGAAAATAGATGTATGAATTTAATTTAATTTTTTTTTAACTTTAACTTTAATTTGAGATCTCAAAGCAGTTTGCAAGTTAAAAATAAATTATGGGCATTTAGAGTGTATTAAATACATTTAAAAACTAAAGATTAAAAGATTCAGAAATCCTTTCTGTTTTTGTTTTTTTTCCTATTTCCCATTTCTCTCTGTGACCTCTGACCTCTATCCGTGTATTTCAGTTCACAGGAAGTTTATATGGTGCACATTTGAATTTGAAAGAGGGTTTGGTCAGTGCCATATTAAGAAAAACTGTCTTGACAAATAATGATTTGATTTCATGGCTACTATCATGACACATGATACAACAGTGCCATTGGCTTTTAGGTTTTCTGGATCCAGCTGATATGAAAGAAGTCTTTCTAATTTAATTGAGGAAGGATAATGACAGCTAAAATCTTGCAGTTGCCATTATCCTGTCTTTACCTCTAGCTCCACCATGGGGTAAACCTGGGTGATATTTAATGCGACTGCTGAATCGTTTGCCACAAACTTTGCCACATTAATTGGAAAAAGGACATTGGCTCTGCTTGTTCTTTTGTCCCCTTTTGCAATGCATTTCTGTACATCTGAACAGTTGAAAGCGAGGTGATATGCTTCACAAAACCCAGGATGAGACCAATGTGACAGGAAGTGTATTTTTCAGTCTTTTCAGTGTTAACCAATCAGATACATTTTAGCGTCTGACCTAATACAATCATGCCACCTCTTTCACTCACTAAAACACCAGTGAAGTCCTGAACGAGGTGCAGTGTCAAGATGATCGTCTTATGGATGACATTGTTTGTTCTTCGGCAAGGATGTAAGGGTTTTTTTGTTATGTGGAAAAATTTGCGTGCATTGATTGTTGCAAGAAAAAGCTTTTTCCATTTTTATATATTTTTTCTTCTTTCAGATTCTCTGGTTCCAGTGAAAACAGTTCAACTTGGTGAACCAGTGACCTTAACATGTGCTTTGCCCAAAGGGCTCCAGAGTGGAGAAGTCCACTGGTACAAGCAGAATCACGGGGATACCCTAAAGTTAATTATGACATCGTTTAAATCTACACCAGCGCAATATGGTCCTGCATTTTCTAGATCAAGATTTGAGGAACATAATGATAACAATTTCAGCAATGTGACTATTTTGAAGACCGTCCAAGAGGACGAGGGAATCTATCACTGTGGGCTCACAGAGTGGATTAGGACTAACTGGAGTGGCACATATTTGTTTGTAAAAGGTAAGTGTACATCCTTAATATAAGCTTTAAAAAAGTTATTTTGCCTCTCTGTCTCCTTTTTTCGACCTGGACACATTTTGTTACATCCCCCTCATCCCCTGAACCTTTTTAGTGGAACGTAACACTCATTTACAATATTTTTCAGCTACTATGACAGCACAATGTCTTTGCATTTTTATTACACAGGAAACAATCAGAAAGCATCAGTAGTTGTTCAACAGCTGACAGGATCAAATCCAATCCATCCAGGAGACACAGTGACTTTCCAGTGTTCAGTCTCTCACTCTGTCAACAAGAAGTGTCCAGGAGGTCTCAGAGTTCTTTGGTTCAGAGACAGATCTCATGAATCTCATCCAGTCATTTACGCTAATACACATAATGAATGTGAGAAAAGATCTGATACTCAGAGGACATGTGTTTATCACTTCTCTAAGAACGTCAGCTCCTCTGATGGAGGGACTTACTACTGTGCTGTGGCCACATGTGGGGAGATATTATTTGGAAATGGGACGACACTCGAACTTGGTATGATTTTGTGTTCAGTACTGGTGTTTATACTTCAAATATGTTAAAATATGAGTGATGAGACATTCTGAGAACATATTATTTTGTTTGTTTTTTATAGAGCAAGCCAAAAAAATTGAGTTTCTTCAAATAGCCTTAATAGTCTGTTTGGCCATTTCTGTCTCTGGGAATATTTTCCTTGTTTGCAAACGAAGAATATGTACGCCAATTAAAGGTAAGAGCTACAGGTATCTAAAATTATGAGAACAAAATTATTCCATTACACTTAAATAATTTAAAGACTAATCATTTATATAAAATAAATTCATGGGGGAGATAGTCATTGTATACACTGCAAATACACTCCATGGTGGTTATTATTCCTATGTTAATTATTGGAAGAATTTATTTATATCACTGAATTTTATGGTTATAAAAAATTCAGAAGTGAACTGCATATTAAGTGCATTTTAGTAATATGTATTTGTTACTATGATCTCATGTTTATAGCAGAAAGTGTAATAACTGAAGCACAAAATGACGCCTTATGCCAACTGGTAAGTAATAAAAAATATTGGTGTTTAGTTAAAATGTCTGAAAAGTTAGTATAACCATCTAAACCAGATTAAGAAACATTTGTTTTGTCTGTTGTACTTACAATGCAGACCGAAGCTGATGAAGAACTAAACTATGCTGCACTAAATTTCTCTGAAAGAAAAACACGAGGAAGAAAGAAGCGAGAGCCGCCTGAGGAGAGCGTCTACTCTCAAGTTAAATGATAGAACTGAAATTTCAAGTGAGCCTGACATCCTGTTACAGACCCGGTGTTTGAAACTCTTTGATTTTACTCTTTTTAACTTAAATGTCTGTGTTTTACTTATTATATTTGGACTCTCAAAGCCAACATAGTTTTGTTGCATTTTTTGTCATCCCTGATTGAACTGTATGAACTTGTCATCCTTTCTGCAATAAATCAAAATTAATTCTCCTGATGCTTTTTATGTTTATTTAATGACATCTAGTTATCAAAGGTATAATGCAGTATAATCTGGTTTCAGGTCATTTGTGAATTTAATCCAGCAGTGAGAACGAAAAATCAAAGGATTGTGATGCTATGCAAAAATTGAGACTATTTCGATGTAATGAATTGCTTTCTTCAGTGACTAAGTAAGTCATGTGTAATACATTCACTTTTTTTTGCATGACAATCCCAACACTGACACAAGCATTGTGTGCTATGAACTCATAAAATCCTTACTAAGTCACTTGCAAGCTTTGGCTTGTAATTTTGTGCTCTGTGTTCCAAATATGATTGCTTTTAGCTCGAGAAGACTATGGCAGAGGCCAAAATGCTAAGATTGAGGTTTTAAAGCACCACAAACCAATTATGGATGACTACATGCATTATTTATATAGTTTCATGTACTTTCACGTACTCTTTCATGATCACTGGTGATGGCAGGGATGTAGTTTGAACAAGTTGACATCTTTGCGCTCAGACTCCTGATCACAACAGACCAGCTAGGAACCATGGCCTCAAACTTGGAGGTGCCAATTCTCCATGGTTATTTGGACATTTAACATAATGATTGGGCAAGTTACTTTAAAAAAGTAATCGGTTATAGTTACTAGTTACTTCTTCAAAACACTAATTGTAAATTAATTAATTACTAGGAAAAGTAATTATTGCGTTACTTAAAAAAATGTTTAAATAACAGACAGGCTGATCACATGACTGTCAACATGTGAGTTAATCAACACATTGCGTGCTGGACTGCAGGGTGGCAACCAGAGGAGGACCTGCCACTGCAGCAGATTGTGTGATTAATGCAAGCACACAATATAGCAACAGAGAAACTAGAAAATCATAAATGTAAAAATTATGCACTAAACCCAAGTCCCCAAGTCAGCTCATTCCCCCAAAGCCAGCACAGGAGGACTGGAGGACCACGACACAGAACGTAAAAGTAATTTCCAGTTATTGCAAATGTTTGATTTTAGTTTAGACCTAAACTTACCATTTTATAGGTTTAGAGGGCAGTTACTTTGGGCCTGGTAGGTTTGGACAGATTTTTTTCTTTAATAAATAAAATCATGATTACAAATTTTGTGTTTACTCTGGTTGTCTTTGTCCAGTTTCAAAATGTGCCCCTGTCTTTATTAAGGCTTTCATTGTTAATATACTAGAAATGTTCTAGAAAAGTTATTAAAAGTTTATTTAAATGGTAAATGGCCTGTATTTATATAGCGCTTTACTAGTCCCTAAGGACCCCAAAGCGCTTTACATATCCAGTCATCCACACATTCACACACACATCCACACACTGGTGATGGCAGCTACATTGTAGCCACAGCCACCCTGGGGCGCACTGACAGAGGCGAGGCTGCCGAACACTGGCGCCACCGGGCCCTCTGACCACCACCAGTAGGCAACGGGTGAAGTGTCTTGCCCAAGGACACAACGACCAAGACTGTCCGAGCCGGGGCTCGAACCGGCAACCTTCCGATTACAAGACAAACTCCCAACTCTTGAGCCACGATCGATTTACACTGCACTCCTCTACATGTTAGCAAAGCTGATTAGTGAGGGAAAACTTACCTGCTCTATTTCCCTGCCTCTGTTTATGCAGACATCTGGAAATGTCTATAACAATTTAACAATATCATAATTGATATAAGAGGAGTGAAAACAGAGCCAGAGGCAGCTTGACTACCAGCCTAATCTCTCTTCAGTGTCCCCACAGGGAGCATGTTTATTCACAATGTATATCATCATCAGAATCAGAATACTAAAAGGAAATTATGTGGTTACAGTTGCTCCAAGACAATAGCTGTAACAGACTGGATTAAATTAAATAACACAATATATTACAAAGTTAAGAAATATAAGAAATAACTCTAATATATACGAATAGCTCAATCATAAATATCCAGTATATTATAGAGGTGAAATATATATGGTTGACAACTGTAAAACTTTGTTAATTTTACTACAGAGCATGTGCAAAAATGTGTAACTATTGCACTGTGAACTGTGCATTAGATGGAGGAGTTGTACAGGGAGATTAGTGGTGCATTTGGTTAATCTCAGCCTCTCACTGAACGTGTTCCTGTGACCTGCCAGCACATAATGGAGTGGGTGGGAGGTATTGTCCAGCATTTTTTTGGACTACATCCGCCTCTCCTACACCACCTTAGGGGAGTCCAGCTCCATACTCACAACATTACTGGCCTTGTAGATCAGTTTATTGACTCTGTTGGTATCTGCCACCCACAACTCGCCACAACAGACTCATAAAAAATATTGGGCATTGTCATGTGTACTCCGAGGTATTTGTAGTCCACCACAGTGTCCACATCGACTCCCTGGATTGAAACAGGCGTCACAGGTTTGGTCCTCTTAAAGTCTAATTTCAAGTCTTTGGTCTTTGTCACGTTGAGTTGCAGATGATTTTGCTCACACCATTTACAAAGGCTTGAACCGCAGCCAGGTACTCCATCTCATCGCCCTCACTGATGCATAAAACCACCACAGAGTCATCAGAAAACTTCTGAGGATGGCAGGTCTCTGTGCAGTGGCTGAAGTCTGTGGTGTAGAGGTTGAAGAGGAAAGGGGAGAGGACAGTCCCTTGTGGTGTGCCTGTGTTGCTGCTAACCTTGTCAGACACATAATGTTGAAGACACACATGTTGTGATCTTCCTGTGAGGTAATCAACAACCCAGGACACCAGAGAGGCATCCACCTGCATTGCTGTGGGCTTATCACCCAGAAGGGTCGGCCTGATGTTATTGAAAACATGACCCTCACTGTGCTCGCTGGCTGGTCCAGATGGGCATAGAGCAGGCAGACAATGGCGTCCTCAGCTCTGGTAAGCTGGTAAGAGAACTAAAGGGGATGCTGATGTGGCCTGACAATAGGTTGGAAGCTTGTCAAGAATGACTCTTTCCAGGGTCTTCATGACGTGGAAAGTCAGTGCCACAGGCTCGAAACCCTGGAGCCACTGGGACGTGGCATCTTTGGTACAGGAACGAGGCATGATGTCGTCCACCGCAATGGGACCCTCTGCAGACTCAGACTCAACATGAACAGTTTATTAAAGAATCCATAAGGCTGGGCTGCACAGGCCTTGAGGACACGGGGACTCATCCTGCCTGGCCAGCAGACTTGCCTGAGTGGAGTCTTCTCATTTGTCTTTGCATCTGGTCGTGAGTAAAAGTAATCAGTGGGAGAGGGGTGTCACGGCACTCCACACCACTCTCATGCGCTTCTGCTGGAGTTTTCACTCCAGTTATCTCCTGTAATTTTCTTTAGCCTCTCTGATCTTTCCCTTTAATAACGCCATAGACCCATTCTCACCTCCTCTCTATTGCCTGCTCGGAAGGCCCTCCTCTTGTCTTTGAGGAGCGCTTTGGTGTCTGTTAGCATTGATTTGAGCTATTGCCCTGTAAAAGCTATCCTTGAGTCTGTTTGTCCGCCACCTCAGCAAACTGAATCTCGTGCCAGACGGCAGCAGCTTAACACCCGGTGTCCTGGGTGTGTGCAATCCTGCAGGATGCTGCGTGCCCTGTGAGTGCTGTACAGGTCATTGAGGGAGGGAAGAGGATGTCCGATGATATTTTGGGCCATATTAATGACCCTCTGAAGTGCCTTTTTGTGTGCCATGGTGCAGCTGGAGAACCATAGACAGATGCAGTATGTCAGCACACTTTCAATGAAGCAACAGTAGAAGACAATCAGCAGCCCCCACTTCAGGTCCACTTTTCTGAGGATTCTCAGTAAGTGGAGAAGCTGTTGGGTGTTCTTTACAACCGCCAAGGTATTTGAGCTCCATTGGAGGTCTATGTCTATGTGCACAGCCAGGGACTTGAAACTGGACAACCTTTCCACGCACTCCCTATTGATGCTGATGGGCTGTAGCACAGACTTCCTCCTTGCTGTCTCAGGTGGAGCAACTCTTGTTTGGAAGTGGAGAAGACAAACAAATGGACTGGGGTGAGTCTTAGTCAGTCTTAAAGATACACCACAGTACTCCCCCAGAAAAAAATTGGAGGTAAGGAACCTGATGGTAGTTTGAGCCGGGGATGAAAAAGAAAACCTTTTGACAAAAAAATTGATTTCATAACGACAATCATAATACCCATGATCTCTGAATAAGGGTGTACCTGGAGCTAACTAATAGAAAAAGAGCTTGCATATTGTGATTATCAAAAAAAAATCACAAATAAAATCTTGCACTTATTATTCTATCAGTTCAGTCTGCTCTGTCCGGTGATGTGGAAGACATCATGCCTCGTCCCTGTACCAAAGACGCCTCGTCCCAGTGGCCCCCAGGATTATAGGCCCGTGGCACTGACCTCCCACATCATGAAGACCCTGGAAAGGCTCATCCTGGACCAGCTGCGACCCATAGTAAGACCACATCTGGATCCCCTTCAGTTCGCTTATCAGCCTCGTCTCGGAACAGAGGACGCCATCATCTACCTGCTCAATCGTGTCTACACCCATCTGGACCAGCCGGCGAGCACTGTGAGGGTCATGTTTTTTGACTTTTCCAGTGCTTTCAACACCATCAGGCCGACCCTCCTGGGTGATAAGTTAGCAGCGATGCAGGTGGATGCTTCTCTGGTGTCCTGGATTGTTGATTACCTGACAGGAAGACCACAATATGTACGTCTCCCACAGTGTGTGTCTGACAAGGTGATTAGCAACACAGGGGCACCACAGGGGACTGTCCTCTCCCCCTTCCTCTTCACCCTCTACACCACAGACTTCAGCCACTGCACAGAGACCTGCCATCTTCAGAAGTTTTCTGATGACTCTGCGGTGGTTGGATGCATCAGCAGGGATGATGAGACAGAGTACCGGGCTGTGGTCGACTCCTTTGTCACGTGGTGTGAGCAGAATCATCTGCAGCTCAACGTGGCAAAGACCAAGGAACTGATCGTGGACTTCAGGAAGACCAGGAAACACTTGACCCCTGTTTCAATCCAGGGGGTCAGTGTTGACATTGTGGAGGACTATAAATACCTTGGAGTACACATTGACAATAAACTGGACTGGGCTAAAAACACCACAGCACTTTACAGGAAGGGCCAGAGTCGTCTCTATTTTTTGAGGCGACTGAGGTCCTTCAACATCTGCCAGAAAATGCTGAGGATTTTCTATCAGTCTGTGGTGGCCAGTGCGATCCTCTATGCTGTTGCATGCTGGGGGAGCAGGCTGAGGGTCGCAGATGCCAACAGACTTAATAAACTGATCCGTAAGGCCAGCAATGTTGTGGGGATGGAGCTGGACTCCCTCAAGGTGGTGTCGGAGAGGCGGATGCTGTCCAAGATAAAGACAATGTTGGATAACACCTCCCACCCACTCCATGACATGTTGGTCAGTCACAGGAGCTCGTTCAGTGAGAGACTGAGATTACCGAAAAGCACCACTGAACGACACAGGAAATCATTCCTGCCTGTGGCCATCTCCCTGTACAACGCATCCACTTAACACACTGTTTGCTGCTACAACTACACATGTTTCTTTTCCAAATATTTATTTATAAGTGACTTATGTATGTATGTATGTATATATATGTATATATTGTACTATTCTTAGTTAGCGTATTGTCTGTCTTGTCTTAATGTTGGTTTAAAATGGAGCACTGTAACAAAAAATAATTTCCCCCAGGGATCAATAAAGTATTCTGATTCTGATTCTGATTCTTCAACTCTTCCAAGGAAGAAATTTCATGACCTTCCCACCAAAGAAACATTGCAAATTTACTCGAAAGTGTTACAAAGTGTTACATATCTGGGGTATATCTTGTTGTATGTACCAATAATTATTATCCATGGATCCATGCTTTTTGCTTGAGAAGATGAATTACAATCACAAACTCGAATATAAATATGAAAACTGAACAATCTGAACAACTGCAACAGAAGATGAAACAGAAAAACCTCTGGTTGAGATCAATGTGACAGGAAGTGTACTTTTGAATCTATTATGTTTTAACCAATCAGAGCTATCATATGCATAGATGGTCTTACCCAGTCACTCATCTCACTTCCTTCTCTCACAGAAATAGCAATGAGGTTCCTAAAAAGGAGTAGTATGAAGATGGTGGGGTTATGGATGACATGGCTATTTCTTCATCAAGGACGTAAGGGCTACTTTTCTCTGTTCATAAATCTGATATACGTTGTTATTGTAAAATATATATGTGTAGAGTTATAGATAATAACAATAATGTTTTTGAAATGATAACAATTTAAAAATTTTCAAGCAAAATTTTGTTTTTCTGTGTTTTGTTTCAACTCAGACTCTCTGGTGCCAGTGAACATAGTTCAACTTGGTGAAGCGGCAACCTTAACATGTGCTTTACCGAAAGAGCTGAGCAGTAAAGCAATCTACTGGTACAAGCAGAACATTGGAGAAACTCTTAAATTGATATTGGCACTGTATAAAAATACACCACCGGAATATGGTCCTGAATTTTCAAATTCAAGATTTAATGTAAATAATGATAAAAATTTTAGCAACTTGATGATTCTGAAGACAATCCAAGAGGATGAGGGAATCTATCACTGTGGAATCACAGAGTGGATTAATGCTGAATGGAGTGGGACATACCTGTTAGTGAAAGGTAATTTTGCACCCTAATTTATCAAATATCTTCTGAGCATGCTTTGAAGAATGTTTGTGTTTTGTATTATAAAGGAAACATTCAGAGGACATCAAACTACTCTGTTGTCCAGCAGCCGACAGAATCAAAACCGCACCGTACAGGAGACACAGTGACTCTTGAGTGTTCAGTCCTCTCTGAGTCTCAGAATGAGGCATGTCCAGGAGATTATAATGTCTTTTGGTTCAGAGCAGGATCACAAAAATCTCACCCAAACATCATCTACTCTGATGGAAATAGAAAAAACGAATGTGAGAAAAGATCAGAGACTCAGAAAAACTGTGTTTATCACTTCTCTAAAAATGTCAGCGCTTTTGATGCTGGGACTTACTACTGCGCTGTGGCCACATGTGGAGAGATTATATTTGGAAATGGATCTTCAGTGGAACTTGGTACGATTATGAATTAAGTACTGGAATTAATACACAATAACATGTTATTCTAAAATGAGGCATAAGACTTTTTAAGAAGATTTATTTGTTTTTATTTTCCAGAACAAACAACACAATCAATATCTATCCAAATGACCTTATTAGTGTTCTTGTCCATTTCTGTCATTGGAAATGTTTTCCTCATCTTCTACCAAAGATTATGGAAACCATATAAAGGTAAGTGTTATAGAAGTTATAGTCTTTCTTAAAGGCAAAACTGACCTCATTGCACTTGGAAAATGGAAAATAAACATATATTCTATATGTACATGTCAGACAAATTCAGGAACGAATGCCACATTAAGTGCATTTTTGACCTACTGTCATATTTACAGGAACAGAAAGTGCTATATCAGGAGCACAAAATGACAAATTGCACCAAGCTGTAAGTAATAACAAATATTGTTAGTTAAAATATTGTTTTACCAGTTATTTATTACAGTTTTTGCTCATGGTTTTAATTATAAAGCAGGGTGAAGCTGATGAAGAGCTAAACTACGCCTCAATTAATTTCTCTGAAAGAAAAACAAAAGGAAGACGGAAGAGAGAGTTTGCTGAGGACAGCGTCTACTCTCAAGTTAAATGTTGAACTTCATGACAATGTTGAGCATTTCCTGAATTTTAAAAGGAACCTCATATTCTGTTATTGACCTTATATTTGAGACTTGGCAATTTGTTTGTTCCACCATTTGGGCTCTCAAAGCCTGTAACTTAGATTTATTGCATATCTGAGGGCAAAATTTGAAACTGTACGTAGTCCTTTTTTTTTTTTAAATTTTGAATTAATAAATGTTTCTTTAATTCCTCCAATGCTTTGTATGTTTGGTCAATGGTATCTATTTGTTTCTGCTATTTTGTGACTTCAAACAACAGAACGCAAAACAGGTTAAAGCTCTTTTTTGTGCAAATTTAAAATTCTGATGTGGAAATTGAGACTGTGTTTGAGAAACATTTGACAGAATATAAAAACATAAGAAAATATCTGCATACACTCAACAAATACTTTATTACATACACCTAACCAATAGTGGGTCAAATGCAATAGTTCATTATGACATAGCCAGTGTTGGGGACTGTATTCCGTTACAGTTAGCATTTAAAAAAGCGGTACTCAGGATACAGTTACTTTGCTGAAGTAAATGGATTACATGGTGGTCTTTTCCTGTTTTATATGTTAGGCTATGCCCTCTGGAAACCCAAACAAAACAGGCAATAAGAGGCTCTAATGCAGGGGTGGGTAATTCCAGGCCCCGAGGGCCGGTGTCCCTGCAGGTTTTAGATGTGTCCTTGAACCAACACAGCTGATTTAAATGGCTAAATTAGCTCCTCAACATGTCTTGAAGTTCTCCAGAGGCCTGGTAACGAACTAATCATGTGATTCAGGTGTGGTGACCCAGGGTGAGATCTAAAACCTGCAGGGACACCAGCCCTCGGGGCCTGGAATTGCCCACCCCTGCTCTAATGCCTGGGTCTCAATCTCGCGGACGATGTCACCTCTACTTGCGGCCCACATAATGACGTGAAGAAATATTTTTTTTAATTATTATTGAAAAAATGATTTAATATGAAGGCAATAGACAGAGTGTTACAGGCATAGCCCTAAAGAATGTAGCCTCATGGGCAGTGTAGTCCGTGCTGCAGGGAGAATGGACTGCCGTACCTGTTATGTGTCTGTGAGCGTGAGGGAGGGAGACAAAGAAGAGTCATAAAGTAAGAGTTGTTACTGACCAGAAATGGGAGAAGCATGTAAATATAATAATAACCACTGCAGCCAAAAAGAGTACCTGACGAGCCCAGTTGTAAGTAAGCTATTAAGCTATTACTAATTTGGAGCAGCCTTTTGACGCCTCTCTCTGTCTCTGTTGATCCTGACAGCAAAGTAAAAAACTATAGTTTTCAGCTATGAGCCCGACACGAACCCGACGTATTAGCCAGAGGTCCCTTTACTACAGTTCGGAGCCGCGGACCTGTTTTATATAGTTTTCTACATGAGGTCGCTGCAAAAAGTGCAGCCTTACCTAATGTCCACCTACTGTTACTCATTTTATATTAAGATTTAAAAATCTAATATGTATTGGTATGGTGAGTAACTTTCAGTAATAGTAATAAATCACGCAGCAATAGTACATCATGTAGTTTTAAAATGCATGATAATATATAATATAAGTAGTCCAAAGTATTCATAATACATTACTCTCATTGAGTAACGCAACGTAATACGATACAAAATACATTTTGGGCCATGTACTCTGTAATCTGTAATCTACATTTTAAAAGTGACCTTCCCAACACTGGACATAGCTTTAACAAGGTGCTGGAAACTTTCCTCTGTGATCTTGGTGCATATTAATGGTCCATATTAACATGATAACATCATGAAGTTGCTGAAAATCAGCTGCAACGCTTAAATGCAACTCTCCCATTCCACCACATCCCAAGGTGCTGTATTAGAATGAGATCTGGTTTAATTGCAGGTTGACTTCACTGAGTGCAGGGACATTGTGACATTGTGTGTGCTTCCTAATCAAAGTAGTCATCAGAAAATGGAAACGCTGTTGTCATAAAGGGACTGTGGCATTTTAAACTATATTTAATTGGTACTAAGCCCTAGAGTTTGCCAGGGAAATATCCCCACATCAACATGCTACCAACAGGTTGGATTGTTAAAACAAGGCAGAATAGAGCAATACTCTTGTGTTATTTACAGCAAATTAAGACTGCCAGCTGAATGTTGAAGTGGAAATTGAGATTACTCTGACTGGGCAATGTTTTGGAATCTGTTATCATCAGATTTTGATGATTCTGTGAAACTCTTTCTTGTTCGTACCTGACAGGAAGAGCACCTACCGTGGTATTCTGTTGATGTACCCCATTTATTTCAATGTGGCATCAGGAAGGCATTGTTTCCCACAGAACTGCTTCTCACTAGATATTAGGCATGGTTGTGCAGCCCATGTGGCATCAATAACCATCCCATATTCAAAGCAATTTAAATCATTTTTATGATACTTTGTCTGAATTTCAATACAGCTGAGATTACCTGCCATGTGATCGGCTGTGTCAAATGCTATAACCTTTGGGTGTGGGTGCGGGTTCTGACTATCATCTGTACTCTTTCATTAAACATGACTTCATAGTACTTGGCCTGGGTTGGGTGCATTGAGAATGTGTGATATCAAGACAGTTTTCAGGCCAGATCATTCACAGCTCCCCTTCTGTCAATGAGTGTTTTCATAATTTTAAGGACATAATTTCTAAAGGCAGACAAGAAGAAGAAGGTTTTTGTTTTTGCAGATGATGTGGCTTCTTATGCCTTCATCAAGCAGTGACCTCCAGCTCACACTGGGGCTGTTTGTAGCCAAGTGCAAAGAGGCAAAGAGAAAGTTGCTCAATCACTTTTTAATACATTTAAAAAAAACGATTGGACCAGATTAAAATATACAGTTTCATATCAAGTGGGTGTATTTTATAAAATAACTGGTTCAACTTAAAAAATCTGGTCAACCAAGTGATTTCTCATATCTACTAATGTGAAAATGTTGTCCCAAGACACTGATGACATTGATTTTGTTTTATTTTCAAACTCGACAGCGTAGGAGTCGACTGTCCCCTTTTGATGATCTGAATCCTTTTCATAAATGTTTTAATCAAAGTTTTATTCACAATAAAGTCTGAATCTTCTACACTGCCTAAGGTGATTAGTGAAGAAAACCTATGTGCTCAGATGATCAACTGCAGGATAATTTGCTCCTATACTGGCTTCTGCTGCCTGTGTTTCCACATAATATACACATGCATATAATAATGATCCGCATAAGTAATTTCACAGTGGTGAGAGGAGAGTCAGCTTTATAAGCATCTCAGTCTCTTGTGAGTCTGCTCACAGATGCACACCGACCCCCAGTGCTCAGCCTTGATACATGCTGGGACGTATGCTTAGTATTTTTGTGCATCATTTCCTTATTACTACCCTGTCTTGAAATAATAAAGTCTGCTTATTTTGAATGAGACAATCCTCAGATTGGGGTGGCAGCGGCTCAGGAAAAAATTCATTCCCCAGCTAATCTATTTTGAATGTTGAAGTATTTTTCATGAAGATGCTGCCCCTCTGGTTTCTCCCAATGTGAATGTGTCCACAAATGTTCATCATGGTGTTTAGGTGTTGGGAAAAGAGCTTGTGTGAATGTTTGCATGACTGCATGGATTGGATTGGCTTGCAGTAAAAAAGCACTTTGACTACTTTCAGTCCACTGACAGTCACAACTAAAATGTTGCTCTTATTCTGGACATGTGGTTAATGTGGGTGACTTTTGGTGGAATATCTGCTTCTAGGTCGTTTCCTATATGAATAAATAAAATACTCCTTTGTTCTGTTTTCTGAACCATGCAGCATCGTTTCATGTTGCTGTTCACGTCGTCTGAAAAACAAGATGTTATGACCTCCTCTGAAGTGCAGAGTTTGATGTATTTGAGGTATTTCTTGCAGTGCATATCGCAACCAAGACAACCAAGAGCAGAATTGCCATTTGCTGTTTCTGTGCTTAAGATTTAAAATTAAAATCAAACAGAGACAGTCAAACATAAAAAGTGAACAACGTGAAACCTTGCAACAGAAGATGAAAAGAGAAGATGTGTTTTTAAAAAGCTCAAAATGAGACCAGTGTGACAGGAAGTTTACTTTTGAGTCTCTTCCGTGTTAACCAATCAGATTTCTTTTATGGCCCAACCCAACATGCTCCTTTCACCAACTTAACTTACTGAAAAACCCCGAGAAGGAGCAGTGTCAAGATGGTGGTGTTATGGATGATATTACTTCTTCTTCATCATGGGAGTAAGTGCTAATTTCTTCTGTCATTTGTCATTTACGTTGAATAGATTTGTCAGGATTTATCAATAATTATGTTAATAATAATTTTAAGATATTCGTCTAAAACAAAATTTTGTTTTTCTTCATTTTGTTTTAACTCAGATTCTCTGGTTCCAGTGAAAATGGTTCAGCTTGGTGAACCAGCAACCTTAAAGTGTGATATACCCAAAGACATCAGGAGTAAAGTATACTGGTACAGGCAGAGTGTTGGGGATACACTTAAATTAATTGTGAGACTATATCGAGATACAGAACCTGTGTATGCTTCTCCGTTTTTGAAATCAAGATTTCCTGCAAAGAATGCAAACAATTTTAGCAAACTGACTATTCTGGAGACAATCAAAGAGGATGAGGGAATTTATCATTGTGGAACCACAACATGGTGTGATCTTGAATGGAGTGGGACATATTTGTTAGTTAAAGGTAATAAACAGACCAACTTTTACAGACTTTTTAATCTTTCAGAGTATTTTTTGAAGAATGTCATTGTAATACATTTTATATTATGCAGGAAACACTGAAAGGACATCAAACTATATTGTTGTACAGCAGCCGACAGAATCAAATCCACTGCGTCCAGGAGACACAGCAACTCTACAGTGTTCAGTTCTCTCTGATTCTGAGAACAAGACGTGTCCAGGAGTTAATAATGTTTTCTGGTTCAGAGCTGGATCTAATAAATCCCATCCAAACATCATTTACACTGATGGAAATAGGACTGATCAATGTGAGAAAAGATCTGACCATCAGAAAAGATGTGTTTATCGCTTCTCTAAGAACGTCAGCTCCTCTGATGCTGGGACTTACTACTGCGCTGTGGCCACATGTGGGGAGATATTATTCGGAAACGGAACTACAGTTGAACTTGGTATGATTTTGTTTTATTTGCTAGCATTTATACTAAACTATGTTAATATCAAGATAAGTTATAAGACTTTTTAAGAATGTAATTTTTGTGTTCTTTTTTGTAGAGCGAACAACACAACTCGTGTTTAATCAAATGGCAATATTAATAAGCTGTTTGGCCATTTCAGTCATTGGAAACGTTTTCCTCGTCTGCAGACAAAGCATATGTAAGAAAAGTAAAGGTAAGTGTTATCTGAAGGTAAAGAGTCATGCCTTTTACAAACAAAATCTTTAAATGAGTTTTCCTATAACACCATAAGGTAAATTAATTGTTAATGAATCTGTACGACACCTCCTTCCCCACAGTGACTGCCTTTACTTTGTGTACCTGAATTTGTTTAATGCATGTATCTATGTCTATGAGTGAGATTTTTGTGACAATAAATTCACAAGGTAATATCACATTTAGTGCATTTCACTATTATAATTTATTGTTACAATGTATATTTTAAGGATACGAAAGCGCTGTGACAGAAGTCCAAACCGACAATTTGTTCCAATCAGTAAGTACGAGAAATTACAGCTGTTCAGTTCACATATGTCTAAAGAGTTCCTCATCACAATCTAAACTATGTTTGTGTATTCTTATTATAACACAGACTGAAGCTGATATAAACTACGCTGCACTGAATTTCTCTGAACGAAAAACCAGAGGAAGAAGGAAGAGGGAGTTTACTGAGACTAGTGTCTACTCCTAAATGTTGATGAAGTATCAACATATTGAGTATGTCCTTGAAAATAAACCTGACATCCTTTTACAGAGTCTATGTTTGTGACTTTTTGGTATTGTTAGTTTCAGTCTTTGTCATAAATTTGCTTCATCACTAATGCAATTTGTGCTGTCAGTATTTGTTGTACTTGTAGTTTTTTATCTGTGAAAAATGGTTGCCTTGGTTTTCACATTTAGAAGAAGATTACATTTAGTCCCTATGGGGGTAGGGTGGGGGTCAGTTTTATTTTAAGGGCTGGGGCTGGTGTTGGGATGTTTAATTACTTTGCACAAGAGTTCTTTCAGAATAAATACACATCTATGTGCTTATTTCACCTTCTGTCACTGTCCTGGATCTTCACTCAACTGTTTTGAGTTGCACTTTCTTGTTCTTAGTTAAACGTATCCTGAGTTTCCTCAGATCTTTGTCATGTCCAGTGTGTGAATGTGCGTGTGAATGTGCGTGTGAATGTGTGTGTGAATGGGTGGATGACTGAATGGAGTGTAAAGCGCTTTGGGGTCCATAGGGACTAAGTAAAGCGCTATACAAATACAGGCCATTTACCATTTACCATGCCGTCGTCATATCCTTCATGTTGCACACGCTCTATCAGTCAGCGTTAGCATTTCAGTAAGCCTACTCCAGTTAACTGTGCTTTATGTTTTGTCATGTTTGCCAGTGCTACCTTTTGAGTTCATGTTTGTTTGCAAAGTTCTGCATTTGGGTCCACTCTCTACCTGCCACACAGCATCCCTTGATTGAATGACGTAACAAAGAACAGGGGGAAACGGAGTACTTAAATACACACATGAGGCAATTACAAATATGGAACATAGCTGGGAAAAGCAAAGCACGGATAAACAAAGTCAGACTAATGACAGGGGAAGCAAAACTGAATGTAACACATGCAGGACAAGAGACTTTCAAACTAAAATAGGAAACTAACACAGCGTGAGACATACAGACTTGACAAAGGCAAAAAGAGAATAAACAGAGACATAACCGACTACAGAGGCAAGGCACAGAGGTACCAAACAGATGGAGACATGCCTGGGGAAACAGACTGAGAAAAAACAAAGAAAACCACTATTAGAAAACCTCAGCCAACTGATGCAGTCAGACTAAAATTCAGTCTCATTAATTTATTTCCGTGAAGAAAGCAACAACACACAAGAAATATTCAGTTGCAATTACAAGATGAGTAGCCTCGTTCTCTTAGCATTGAGCCTAAACTCATGATATTATGATGGTTTCCAATGTTCAGCCAGTCCGAGTGTATGGGATTCACATGTTACTTCATTTCAGTGTTTCTTTATATTATCATTTTATAAATGTGTTGTAAGTTATTTCATCAACAGTTTGATAAAATGCACATTTTGCACACTGCTATCTGCTTGCTTGCCTTGCAACCAACATGCACTAGGTGCTAACAAAGCTATCTGTTAACCCTTTAAGACCTACCATAGAACCAAGTCCGCCAGAGCTTATATTCTATTTTTACATGCTGAGGAGCCATTTTTGGGAGCATTTCAAGTTGCTATACATCAATACAACAATTATAGCCCAGATTTTAATAATATGTATTCATTAAGTGCATAGTAATTACATAAATTGCAAAAAAGTGCAAAAAAACTACAAAAAAATTGAAAATCGTTTTTGCTTTTTTAACATATATTTCTAGTTAGAGAAATTTAAGAGGTTTATCCCTCAAAACTGTAAATACAAAAAAGTTTCCTACCACAGGAAATTTATTTTGAGTGACTTCATAGTTTTATTTTTGAAATACAACAATTTTTATATACTGCAGGAAAAACGAATATAAATATTATAATGCAAATTTGCAAAAAAGCAGCATATGCATCAAAATAAACTATTTCCAGCAGTGCAATATGAGTCCTAAGCATCCCAGAAACGACACAGAAAGTCATAAAGCCAAAGATAACTTTTAAAAACACCAGTATAGGCTCATGAGGCCCTGATGGTAAAAAAAACTACATTTCCGCAAAAATGACATCACTTCCGGTTTTGGGCAGGTCATGGCGGACATGCAAAAGTTCGCGCTGACGTCTATTCCAACGTAGGAAGTGTTATGAACAGCTGATCGGATCGGCAAAGCGTGTTTCTGGAATATTATGTTTTTGTTGCTGCAAGCGCTTTTTATGCAGTTTTTGCAAAGCTTTATGTGGAAGGAAACTGTGACCGAGGACAAGCTGATGGCATCAGATGTAAGTACAACTCCTCTGGTTTCATATGCAAAAAAATTATTGCGCTAGCTCACATGGTTGCAGAGCTACCGGGATTTAAAAATAGTTACGCAAAACGGAGCGTGCCCGCTCCGACCGGCTCTAAAGGGTTAATAGGTACAGAGTCTGCCAGAATATTAAATAAGGACCAAGCAATCATCAGTCTGCAGAATCTGATTGTTGTTTATGTTTTGAAACAACAAACTTTACATTATCTTAATAAGCTGTCATGTTTTCATCTTATGAGGCAGCACGGTGGCACGGTGGTTAGCACTGTTGCCGCACAGCAAGAAGGTCCTGAGTTCAATTCCACCATCAGGCCGGGGTCTTTCTGTGTGGAGTTTGCATGTTCTCCCCGTGTTTGCGTGGGTTCCCTCTGGGTACTTCGGCTTCCTCCCACCGTCCAAAGACATGCAGCTTGTGGGGATAGGTTAATTGGATAATCCAAATTGTCAATAGGTATGAATGTGAGTGCGAATGGTTGTCTGTCCCTGTGTGTTGGCCCTGCGACAGACTGGCGACCTGTCCAGGGTGTACCCTGCCTCTCGCCCTATGACAGCTGGGATAGGCTCCAGCGCCCCTGAAAAAGGATAAGCGAATGGATGGTTTTCATCTTACATCGAAGCTGCAATCCCTATTAAGGATACGTCAAACTTAAATTTAGTATCACTTCATAATCAGTGTCAAGGTACAGTTTAGGTTCAATAATAAATTTGAAAAGAGAACCTTCAGCATTTGCCACCATCATTCTGCAGAATCCTGTAAGTAACACCCTACAAGTTGTCACACCATCTAGCTAAGTCTTGGTTTTAATCTAAAGCATATCCTCTTGTGGAATGTCATGTTCATGTCAATTTTATGTATATTTAAAGTGTCTCATGAAACATAAAGGAGAATATAAAATTCACTAACACTAAATTATGATTGATATTTATTTCAGTTTGATTTACTCAACTCAAATCTGATAGTACATAATATAAAGATCCACATAATCTTAACATATATATTTTTGATTTAAATAGCCAGCATTACAAAACATATGTCCCATCTCTAGCCTAATCTATTTTGCAGTGCTACTAACAATAATATATCAGCACGAAAATTGTTAAATATTCATTCTTGATGAGGAGAGCATTTTACTGGTAGTCTATCATGCCAGAATATATGCTGTCATCTGGTAGCTCCCACTTATTCTTCCATTTTTTAGCTTTTCTCGAGGGGAAGTCCAGCGCCGCATAGTTGACTCCTACTTCTTCACCGTCCTGCAGATTATTAACAGAAATTAGAAGACAGAAAACAGAATTGGAATTTAATAACCATTTTAAAACAGTTTTACAATTTATATTAAACACACAGAACATAGTCATAGTTTGAAGTTGAACGTGAAGTGTGATACTGAGGCCCAGTCAAACTCTTTTCATGCCTAAACTTTACTAAATCTCCCACAGTTTACTTTTAGCAACTTTTTGAAAGGATGTGAGGTAAAGTCGATTACTACCCTGTAGTTTTGCCTGTATCTCAGTATGTCTCGGTTTTCTCATAGAAAATGCTAGCTGTGTGTTTCAGCCCTAAGAATCTGCATTGACTTTGCCACCCATGGCATCTGTCCAGTGTAGGATGCTAACATTATGATCATGTTTTTTGCAGTATTTACAATATGTACCACATTACTCAGTTGATCTGCAGTTGATCTACCCTGGTCATTGATTGGAGGCTGAGTGGAGACGGTTTCTCCTCCTGTTCAGAAAAAGAAAACATTAAGAGTGATTTATTTTTAAAGCCTTTTAGGTCAGATCCAAGAAGCTAATTATCAAGATTATAGTAATACTGCATAGGGCATCCATTTGCTCTAAAAACAGCTTCATTCATGGAAACATTCATTTGAGAGTTTAGTCTTTCCTAAATGAAGCTTATAAGGAAGCTCTGTAGTCACACTTATGTTTGCTTCCTGGGTATTTGCTGGTTAGTTTATGCTTTACATCACTTCCACTTTCCCACACTACCATTGTTCCAATGCTGACATCACTGGTCTGGTCCAATCATCTTTCTGTCCACCTTCTTCAGGCCATTCAGCCTCCACTCCGCATACATTAAATCTCACTGTTAATCTGTCATCCTGCCTTGCAAACACCTTTGTGAAACCCACCTCCTCCCTATCCCTGCCTCTCTCATGTCCAGCCAACTTTCCATCTTCATCTCCACCACCAGCGTTTCATTCTGCTGCAATGGGGCATCAGAGTCCAATCTCCAAATAGTTTAAGTGAATTCTGCATATCAATAAATCATTTTTAATTCCTTATTGATCTTGTACCTGAAGATTCATACTGCTAAACTCTTGCTTTACCACTTCTGAAATAGACTATTAGATTAAAATCTGTCTGCTGAAATGACTGCTTAGGTCAAGTGGAGTCATTGTCATGCTAATGAAAGCAGTTTGAAAGCACTTGTGCTTAACGTTTGAGTAATCTATGTTTTTGACTCATCCAGAAAGTCGCCACTTAAAGTTTGGTGACATAGATATGTAAGGACTCACACGGCAGGTCTGATCGATCCATGCAGTTGATAATAATTCTAATTCTGACCAAAATGTATCACGCCGTGCATTACTGGGTGCAGAGCACAGGACTGCAGTTCAACATGGTGTCTGTTAGATTTTGTTCCAAGTTACAGTTTCCTACAAAGAACCAACTCTATTTTAAGATATTTTGTTTAATACATAGCTATGTCCTGGTTTTAGTAGCATTTCTTAATGCTTTATCATGTGATTCGTTAGTAATTTTCTCCTATCAGCTAAGATAAGGAAACTTACAGTTCAGTAGCAAAGCCTTGTTGAGTCCAAAGCTGTGTTGAATTTCTGATGTGAAACATTAAGGCAGTTCTAAAGGCAACCGGTACTAGCAAGGTAACTATTACTGTATACTAATGTTATACTATTAATGTGTATACACACAAATGTGGTGTAATGGAAATGTGATGCACCACTGTACCTTTGGACTGTTCACAAGTTGGCTTCTTTTTTCTGGAGACAATCAGACCAAAATTTACAAGCACAGAGAAGATCAGCAGCGTCACAAGCACAGCACTGAGCGGGAACTCATCTGGAACGAGAAAACATCCCAGCAGACACTTTACATCCCATTTATGTAATTGTGTAATAGCGCACATCTACATGACTCACTGTTAGACCCAATTAAATTTCATGCAGATGGCTTTTATTGATTTATATTAATTACTAATATTTTACTCATTACCAAGTTAATAACAATAAAAAATAAAATCATTCTCTCCTCGTAGTTTATGGAAAATTGCCTACAGACAATGTTTTTTCTCATCAACCTCAGCTGCACTTTTTTTAACTACACAACAGAGTGTATTGCAATCCAAGGTTCATGGATAATGAATTATGTTGAGCTGAAAGTAAAAGTTTTCAGCATCAGTAAGGCAGATGTCTTTAGACTTGACTTTATCACCACGGTAACATACGATAAAAACACAATCTTGTCTGTAGCAGGTTATATTAGTTTCATTTCGCTGAAAGTCCAATATTTTAGCTAATTATTTTTAGTGAAAGTAAGCTTTAAGAGCAATAAGGATTATCAACTGAAGGAAAACATTTTATACACATGTCACTTGTTAGGTCGTATCATAATAACACCACCATATGAAACTGAAGTTAAAGTAGTACTGCTTGTGTGACATATATGACTTATTTTTATGTTTTGTCTTAATGCTTCCAGGTGTTTTTACATAGCTGCAATTAGAGCTAATAGAGCTCAAGTAAAAGAAAATTATCAGTTACATTTGTTAAGTACTACATTCCTTTTCCCCCCATTCCTCTAATAATGTTCTGATTGGACAAGTTTTTTTAATTGTGTCCCCTTTGTGTAATTGTGCAGAGGTTAAATCTAGGTTAACAGAAAAAGATGAACATGATACCTGTTATCTCTGACTAGATTTTAGGTTTTCTCAAATCCAGCTACCACAAAGAAGGCCTGGCTATGTTCAGCTTGCTTCATAGTGCAACCCTCTACTGAACATCAACACGTTATTATTTAGCTGTTCCAAGTATGGCTTCACAGATCTTTAATGGGGTTTTCAAAAAACCAAAACTAATACTAGTATTCTGTATTCTTTATTTTATTATGAAGCGTTGTATTTTGAGATTGTATTGCATCCTAAGTGTTTGTGGCCTCTAGCTTGACATACTTAAAATAAAACCATCTAAACTAAATGCATATAACAATATGGACAGCTAAGATGCAGAGGCCTTTAGGTGACACAGAACGCTGCAGGAAATGAGTAGAAAACATTCACATAAAAGAACAGAAAAAGAACAAAGACAGCAAAGGCAACAAAGGCAGCAAAATGGCACCTGCAATATGACAAACACAAACAGGCTGCGGGCTGTAAGCCTTGAGAACATTATATGTTTATATAATGTATTTAGAATTGTCAGAACCTCAAGCTGATCTAGGTAGAGTTGCTTTATTAGAGGCCTGAAACTAGCATCTGAAGACTTCCAGTATATATTCACAGAAATACAGGCAACAATGATCACTATAAATAATAATATTTTAAATAAGACTTTAAAAACATACTTGTCACCACTTTTGTTCCTTCACCAAACAGGATCTCACTGCATGTGACAACAGCACAGTAGTACGTCCCAGCATCAGATGAGTTTGTTACAGTTTTGGACAGACTGTAGTCACATCTCCCGTCCTCTTTATTTCTGAGACTGCCGTGGTAAATGACGCCTGGATGGGATTCTGATCCACCTTTGAACCAGTGCACTTTGTCTTCATCTGGACACTGATCTGTGTCATTCTCGTTCTTGGAGAGGAGCGAACACTGCAGAGTCATTGTATCACCCAGCTTGACTGACTCCATGTCTGGAGTTTGTTTCACAGTTACAGATTTAAGTTGAGTTTTAGGATCTGTGTGATTCACAAAAATACATGTCTGTATTTGGTTTGATTTTGACACAGATATAGAAAGAAAACAATAAAATGAATATACTTTACCTTTCACTGCCAAAATTGTGCCATTTATAAATTCTGGTTCATATACCGATCCTGCATGACAGAGGTAAGTTGCTTCATCTTCTTTGCTTACATTTCTTATGATAAGAGAATACACATGACCTACTTTTGTGGCACTGAATCTTGAGTTGTTAAATTGTCCACTGAGGGATATTCTTCCATAAGTTCTTTTAGCAACTGTTTCAAGCAAGTATCCAAAATTCAACTTATACCAGTAAGAAAACTCTGCATTATTTTTCACACATGTCAGATTCACATCATCTCCAAGTTTAGCCTCATGTAAAGACATCTGCTGAGGAATCTCTCTCATTTCAATCAAAGCTGAAGAAAAGAAACCAACAGTAGCAGTTAGAACATGACAGGACAAAATACTTAAAAATATGTATAATCATCATGCAGTTTAAAATATTACAGAGCCTTATACAATTTGTCTTATATGATTTACAATGCTACATCCCACAGTACAGAAAAAGTAAACTCACACAATGTACTTAGAAGAATCAAAGGAACCAGTCTTCCGATCATTGTGGTACCTCAACCTTCTCTTGCACAACTGATGTCTTCCCACTCAAAGGAAGATTTAGTCACAAGAGGATCAAGGTTTAGAAAGTCGAAATCACAGTGATTGGCTGAAACACAGAAAATGCACTTCCTGTAATATTTTACAAGCCCTTTACAGTGAATATAGGCTGTTCTGTTTGTTTTCAAAGATAATTCTCCAGGAAGAGTAACATAATCTGCATTTGAAAACCTGAATTATATATACATGGAAATACAGTTGTATTCAAAACAAAATTGTGTTTTAGTTTGTTTATGATGAACAATCCACACAAGATAACCACAGAAATCTTGAGCAGATAGTTTTACCAATCATTTGAACAAAGATTTAGGAGACTATGATTATCCTCATACCCTCAAACACCAATGAACAACAACTGACAGTTTTTTTTATTAAAATAATATATTTTTTATTATTTTATTATATCTCATCTCACACCCTGAAGTTGACCTTACACTTTCCATAATTTACATACCAACCATGCAAGCAAAACCATCCTTATACCCAAATTACAGATTTTGGCTTTAAATTTAGTATCCAGACTTAAAAAATGCAGAGAGCCACAACTAAATAAATAATGATCAATCAAACAAAGTTAGGTTGGTTGTGCCCAACAGCAGATCCTCTTTGCATTTGCTGTGACTGACAAACTCAACTGGATAGTTGCTTTCAGATGTAGCTACAATACTGCACACATGTAAGATGTAAATACCCTATTAGAAGGTTTGTTCACTAAAAAGATTAACTTTGTTTTAGTCATTTTTTATGTTTTGTTTGAGCATCTGAAACAACAGCAAAGCCTGAGTTGTCTATCTGTAATCAAAAAGATCAGCACTCCCCTCATTGACCAAAGCAGTACAAGAGATCTATAATGCCTTACATTTGTTTTTGCGGGGATCAGAATGAGTGTAAGCAAAACTTATCTCAACTTTTATCTGCAGTGCAGCTGTTTGCTTCCTGCAACTCTCCGTCTCAGTCACACAGCCCAGCCCAACGTTTTTTGTCCCTTATATGCGTGAATTAATAATCTTGCTATCAATTGTGCAAAGAAAGTATAATATTATAGCAAACCTACATTTTATTTCCCTCTATGCTGGCGTTGTCTCATGGCAATCCATGTGACAGTAATTGTTTCATACATTCAGTAAGCTAACCGTTAACTTCGGTCTCAAGAAATAACTTCTCATACACAGCATGTTCTGATCTTTCTCTAAGCAGCTTTTGTTTTATTCATTGTTTTCTAAACCCACTCAAATAAAGCAAAGCTTAATATTAAAGCAGTATAAATGGAGGTGTAATTCATTATTTACATGACTGAGTTTAACTGCCAACTCTTGTCCAAGAACATGAATCATTGGATTAAATTTTGTATAATACTAAGTGCTTTGTGACTTTGTTTTCAGTGCAGTTGTCTACTGTGGTTACTGACGCTACTGGACTCCCACTCAAAAACAAATATGTAATGAAGTAAAATACTGGTGTTTGTCTTTGGGTTTGTTAGGTTTCGGGTGGTTTAGGGTATAATTTCAGTATTTTCAAGAATCCTGTTAATTCTTGTAACTTAGCTTTTGTATGTGAAATGAATAAAGTTTGTTCCTTTTTACCCTTTCAAGCTATGTGTGGATGTTAGTTTGATTTTAATTTATAAACTTTTGTGATTTTTCAAAACCTGCACCACATATTGACTAAAATATTTCCATAGTGCAAATCAATTGCTTTATTGCTGAAATGAAAGATGAAACTTTGAATGAAACTGAAATAGAGCGTGAGAAATAAATGCGGCTTATGATATTAAAGTTCTTCTTTGGAGCAAAAGGAGATCAATTAACTAAACTCATGTTTTGATGGTTAAAGTTCACTGTACACATGCTGGTTGGTGGGCCTTACCACTTCAGAGCAGAATGGTAATCCTCTAATCTCAGGAAATGAGACATGAGACACTACAGGTTACATAAATAAATAATGAAACCCCAGTGTTTGAGTTTTATTGTATTTTGCTTTCCACTTGTGTTCTAGTTTCAGTTTAATTGACCTTATTAAGTGCTACGATGCCTAGGTTGCTGTGTTAGTCCTTTGCTTTGTAGATCTTTTTGTGTCTTCTCCCCTGTTCTAAGTCTCCCTGCTTCATGTCTACCTGTCATGTTTCATGTCTCTGTGGTCAAATTCCTGTCATGTCTCGTAATGTTTCCTGTTTATTTTTGGAAGTCTTGTTTCCATGTTCTATGTACTTAGTTTTCACTTCCACTGTGGCATCATTATGTTCATCCTAGTCAGCTGTTTCCTCATGTGTCTCCACTTCCCCCGGTCACCTCATGTGTGTATTTAAGCTCACAATCTTCCTGCGTTCAGTGTGGTGTCGTCTGTGTTCCCTCCCCCATGTCTCATTTTAGACTTCATAGTGTCCCTTCATGTTTCATAGTATTATCAGTCTTCATAGCTTTCATAGTCTCTCTAGTCTTGTCACAGTTTATTCATAGTTGTCTCAGTTTGGTCTCAGCCTGTTTGCTTTATTTTTGTATGCTTAAGTATCAGCCCCCAAAAAAGGCTCATTTTTCGTTAAAGTTAATTCCGTCTCCTCGTCAGTGTCCGCACTTGGGTCCTCCACTCATTCCTCCTGCAGACCGTGACCACAAATTCCTATTTTATTTAAATAAACATGTACTGAGAAAATGTCAGGTTTAAGTAATACATGGATTTTGAATGTATGTAAAAATAAAACATGATGATTAAAATGTGGAAGTGAGTGAGAGAGAGTGAGTGGACTGAAAGAGTAGGCTTTAGGATATTTGCTTTTTCTCCAATTGAGTTTCTGAATTTCTGAGTGAACTTCCTGAAAACCATCAGTCTTTTAGACCACATCCCCACAAGACTGAAAAGGAAGTCATACCACTGATCAACGCGTTAATCTCTATTTATCAGCTATGTACCACAGGCCTTCAATATGGCAGTAGTTAAAATTTCACTTACATGTCATTACTTGACACTGTGTCAGTTATAGGCCAATCTCAAACCTTACCTCTTATCTCAAAAATTCTTGAAAGGGTAGCTAACTGATCATCTGCTGAGGGATGGTTTATTTGAAGATTTCCAATCAAGTTTCAGAGCTCATCACCGTAACAAAACAGAATTTGTGAACGTTACAAATGATCTTCTTATGGCCTGTGACAGTCGATTCATCTCTGTGCTCATCCTCTTGACGATAATATTTTACTTCAGCAATCATAGCATGCTGTAGATATTGAAGGTTCTGCACTGCAGTGGTTTGAATCACATCTATCTAATAGACTCAGGATCAGTTGAAGACATAACATACGGCCGAAAAATGGCCGAAAAGGCAGAACTGAACTGAACCCAAACGCAGAAACCCAAAGCGGAGGTGGCACAGTGTTTAACAATGTTTATTGATCTAGCACTGGTTGAACTTGAAAGTAGCTGGAAACAGTGGGAGAGCTATGGTACAAGAAAACAAGGTAAGTAAAGCATGTCGCAACAAGAACATGGAGCATGGAGAGCCGATTACCAACTGCCAGTGAAGGAACGTCAGCGTAGAGCTTAAATCTCTCCAGCCTGATCGCCTCAGATCAGCTTCAGGTGAGTGGAACTGCTGAAGAGATGACAGCCCTGCCAAGGAAACTCAAGAACCTGGTGGGAATTTCCAGCCAATCATATTGTGACAGCATATATATTCACTGCTACGTGGATAGCACCCAAATGAATCTACCCATGAAGCCAGATAACACACACCAATTGGTTGAACTGCAGTGTACTGCAGGAACGTCTTCAAGATATAAAGATCTTGATGACGCCTAATTTTCTGCTTTTATATTCAGATAAAGCTGAAGTTATTGGTAGTTTTTGACCGGGATGTGTCCTTCAATGTGTATAATAAACAAATATATAGGACACATCCAGCACACATCCTGTCTTAGAGTGATGCTGAAATAGTAGTTCATGCATTTATTACTTCAAGGCTGGACTATTGCAATTCATTTTTATCAGGATGCCCTAAAAACTCTGTGAAAAGCAAGAACTAACAGGGACTAGAAAGAGGAAGCATATTTCTCCTATGCTGGCTTCTCTTCTCTTCTCTTCTCTTCTCTTCTCTTCTCTTCTCTTCTCTTCTCTTCTCTTCTCTTCTCTTCTCTTCTTGGCTTCCTGTTAAATCCAGAATTAAATTTAAAAATCCGTCTCCTCACACACAAGGTCTAGAATAATCAGGCCCCATCTTATCATATAACCTTATAGTACCATATCACCCCAATAGAGCACTTCGCTTTTAGACTGCTGTTGTACTTGTCGTTCCTAAGATATTTAAAAGTAGTATGGGAGGCAGGGCTGCGTTGTCGTTGGGAATATGACCCCCTATGAGCAAGCACTTTGGGGACAGTAGGAAGAAACCTCCTGCAGAACGGGGCTCAGGGAGGGGAGGCTGTCTGCTCTGACTGGTTGGGGCAAGAGAAGGAAGACAGGATAAAAGACACGCTGTGGAAGAGAGCGTGAGATTAATAACAAGTATGATTCAATGCATAGAGGTCTACTTACAAAGTGCTCTAGTGCGAAGTGCTCTAATAGGGTGATATGGTACTACAAGGTCATTAAGATAAGATGGGGCCTGATTATTTAAGACCTTGTATGTGAGGAGTAGGATTTTGAATTCAATTCTTGATTTAATGGGGAGCCAATGAAGGGAAGCCAATATAGGAGAAATCTGCTCTCTCTTTCCAGTCCCTGTCAGGACTCTTGCTGCAACACTTTGGATTAACTGAAGGCTTTTCAGGGAGTTTTTAGGACTTCCTGATAATAATGAATTACAGTCATCCAGCCTGGAAGTAATATTTGCATGAACTAGTTTTTCAGTGTGACTCTGAGACATGAAATGTTCTTATTTTAGAGATATTGTGCAAATGGAAGAAAGCAGTCCTATATATTTGTTTAATATGTGCATTGAAGGACAACTGAAGTGAAAGGTACAGTGGGTAGATTAACCACA